CTAGATTAGGATAATACCTTGGATGTTCATAATTGTATGTATAATAGAGAAAACATAGATCCAAGGTATTTAGGGTTGCATGTACACTTAGGAGTGTTAGAATGCTCATAACCCAACAGATATAACCTATATTGGAGGCTCTTGGGTCTAGATTGAATTTGATAACAGGAAAGCATATATCCGTTTTAAACAAAATGATGACTTGAAACAAGAAACAAGAGTGACAAATGTTGATAATTTTGAATTACTTTGGTTCGATGTTGTGAAGAGGTGTTACAGATATATCTGGTATTAAACCCATGTAATTCATTTTTATTACTTTGATCCCTAAAGTGGTAAGTCCTATGGGTGTTACGGATTACAGTCATATCAGTTTAGTTTAATAGGTTTCAATACAAGATTGTTGCAAAAATTTTGGCTTAACGTCTAGCTACGGTAGTGGACTCGGTGGTGAGTATGGAGCAAACTGCCTTTATAAAGGGCGCACAAATTTTGGATGGTCTGCTTTTAGTTAACGAGTTGGTTCATTGGTTTAAAAGAAGAAATTGAGTATGATGCTGCTGAAGATTGATTTTGAAAAGGCCTATGACTCTTTGAGTTGGGATTTTCTTGATCAAATCTTGGGTATTATGCATTTTTCTAACAGGTGGTGGGGATGGATACGAGCTTGTCTTCACTTGGCTAGATCTTCTGTTTTGTTAAATGGTAGTCCTTCTAATGAATTTCGGCTTTTCTGTCACCTTTTCTCTTCATTTTGGCTATGGAAGGTCTTCATGTGGCGCTTGAGGATGCGGTTGCGGCTGGTGTGTTTAAACCTATTTGGATTGGAGATGACAATATACATTTATCTCATTTATTTTATGTTCTGACGCATTGTTTTTGGGGGAATGGTCCAAACGAAATGTTGAGAATCTTGTTCATATTCTGAATTTTTTTATTTGGCTTCAGGGATGAAATTGAACTTGGCTAACTCAAATCTTTTTGGTGGTCATAAGGCGGTGTCTAGCAATAGCCCTTGGTCTTGTATTGTGGCTGCTTCAGCTATGTTGCATGAGAAGGGGGTTATTTTAAATTCGGTTTTACAAAAACAAGTTGGAAATGGTTGAACTACAAGGTTTTGGAAATACTATTGGGTGGGAGATCAAACTTTTATGGTTAAATTCCCTAGATTGGTTGATTTGCAATTAACAACAACTGCTTTATTTCAGATAGATGGTATGAAGGAGGTTGGCATTAGCAGTGGATGAGAGGCTTTACGGGGGTAGATTATATGCTAAATTTGAGAAGATGGTGGATATAGTGGAGTGCTGGAGTAAAGTGGACCTCCCGAATTTATGGGTGTGGTCTATTGATCCGGATGGACTGTTCACGGTGGCTAATACCATACGATGGATAGAGGTGTAGGTGCTTCCTGATGCTTCAGTGAGTACTAGATGGTGTAAATGGGTTCCAAGAAAAGTAAATATTTTCATGTGGCGTTTAATGTTGGATAGAATTCCTACTAAGGTGACGTTGCAACATAAAGGGATTGGTATTCGATGTTCTAGGTGTGCTTTTTGTGGTTTGGAGACGGAGACTGTGGATCACCTGTTTATGCGATGCGAGATGGCGAAGGATATTTGGAGTGCTATTCAGAGATGGCTTGATATTCATTTCGATCAGATTTCAACTCCTGTTGACTTATTCATGTGGCTCGACACTACAACATTAACAAGCTATAGCGACGACGAATTCGGGTTCTCTCCCGACGACATGTCGTCGGCATAGGGTATGCAGCATACCGCGTATTTTTTGGTCATTCCCGCCAGAGGTTTAGAGACGACATGTCGTCGGCACAAGTATCCGGGTCAAACGATTTTGGTCAAAGTTGGCAAAACGTGTGGCGACGACTTGTCGTCGGCATAGGCGGAGTTGTAGCGACGACGTTTGTCGTCGGTATAGGTGTCGTCGCCATAGCTATGTATTCCTGTAGTGCGATTTGGTGAATGTTAATGTGCATAAAAGGAAGGTGCTTGAAGTGGTGGTATATACGACTCTTTGGTGTACTTGGAGATATCGGAATGATGTGATTCATGAGAATCGAAGATTTAGAAATGAAAATCTTTTTGATTTTATTCGAGAATTTTCTTTTCTATGGTTTTGTTCTAGATATAAAAGCGTTAGTTGTAATTGGACCGTTTGGATCCAAAAACCCTTTAAACACTTTGCGATGTTCTAGCTCATTGCTAGTTTCTGTTTTATGTGATAGCTGTTTCGAAAAAAAAAATCCAATGTCTTCTTCATCATACTTGATTTCCAATGTGTAGCCAAGTCACAAACAATCTCTTTGAAGTCGAATATATGGGTAAGCAAGTCTCTACCTTCTTGAAATTTGTATAAGAAAAGCTTTTGCTTTAAATGTACCTTACTCGTGAGATCTTTTGACATGCATATTGACTCAAATTTTAACCAAAAAGCAGTTGCAGTTCTTTCATTAAGCACTTCTTAGAGAATATTATTATGGAGATGTAACCGAATTTGTGACAAGGCTTTTCGATCATTCTTTATCTCTTCGGGAATCCAAGTAGCTTGCTTTTTTCCTCCAAACGAATCTAATACATCCTCGTAATCCGATTGAGCTAAAAGGTCTCGCATCTTTATTTGCCAAAGTGGAAATCTAGTGTCACGGTCCAAAAGTGGAAGATCGTATTTACCGTAGCCATGAAATAATAATCAAATTTATGTAGGTGTGTGTGTGTGTGGGGGGGGGGGGTAAGAAAAATGATTTATAAATCAAAAAAATAAATTGTAGATGTGGCTGGTAATATGGCTTAAAGAACGATGTTAAATTTGATTAATATATTTGGTGTAGACAAGTCAATAAAAGTGGCTGCAGTAGGATGATATAGTGTTTTTAATATGGGCAAAAAAACGTTACAGAGAATTTGGAGAAAAGGTTAATGGACTGGATATAGAGAAGAAGCAAATAACACCCGACTCTCTATATAGTGAAGAAAATTTGATTTTGTCCTTAGGTATAAGGGCTTAAAAAATCAAACGATTAATTAGGCTTTAAGTGTGTATAGTATGGGCTTGGTATGTAGGTTTAGAAGAAAATATCATATAGCAGGAAGCGATGATCCAACAAAATTTCAGAAACGTTTCAGAAGAAAAATAAAATCAAACCGGATGTTGGTGATTGAATTGACTAAGGAAAAAACAAAAACTTCTTTTGAAGAGTTTTGTAAATATCGAATAGCCAAAAAAGATCGGCTAAGAAAAAACGTGTGAATATCATGTGAACGCAGTGAAGATCGGCCAACAAAGGAACCCAAAAGCTTACAATCGCCCAGGGATGAAGAACACGGTCTTGCAGAAACAAGAGGTAGGTATTGATCTTAAAGGCTTGACATCACTTGTTATAATCAAAACATAAAAATAACAGAGTGACACATACGTCCTATGAAGTTTTCTAGGGTTTATCTTTTTAGTCCCTAAACTAATTTGATGACGTTACGAGGGAACCAATTCTTTTTTGTTGGGTCGATTAAGTCCTCTTGGCCAAAGTGAAGGGGTTACCCGGTTACCCCTTTGCCACATTGATATTTGTTGACCAATTTCCCTAAATTGACTTTGAATTTTTCCAATTTGTTGACCAAACTTGCCACATCACCAATTGTGCTCTGTTTAAGTTCTTTAATTTGGAGAGTTTTCAAGACTATCACGTCGGTGTCAAGATAAACACCACCATATTTGTATAACAAACAAAGTCAAAGGAGATTCAAGATGTTTTGGCCTGATGGGAATGACCTTGGATTAGCTTTGAAAACCAAGATTCTGCCATGGTGCTCTAGAACAAGTAATCCTATGTTTCTGATGATCAAAAACCCAAAAAGCTAGTGTTTTGATAAGAAACAATGATGTTGGTGCTTCCGACGAGAGGCAATAGTGGCGGTGTGCTATGTCTTTGATGAACATGATGAACAGGAAACAGAAGGATGATATATGCACCGTAGGAGTTAACGGTTGAAGGAAATTTCTGGAAATGAGAACTCAATATCGGCTCAAGAAGGCTTCTTTGATGGTGGTGCTTTTGACTAGCCCTCAGTCCATCAAACCCTATTCATCGCAAAATCAAACCTCAAGGAGTTTAGACCATGATCATTACAGATAGAAAAAACCATAAATCAACGTGTTCATCTATTGTACACAAAAAAAGAAAGAGAAATCAAATCGTCATCACCATCTGTCACATCATCAAACCTGTTCATCTATTCATTGCAGTGTCGCCATTTGGTGGACGAATAGAGGGAAGAAGGGAAAGTGGACGTGGGATTGAGGGAGGCAAAGGAGAGAGTACAGGAATTTGAGGGATTAGAGCTATTGGAAGTATAATTGTGGAATCGAAGATTCTGCTGGTGCGATTTAGTTGTGGAGGTGAATTTCTGGCATTAGGTTTAGAGTTTTTCTTGTGGGTTTTTCTTGTCGTCGATCTCCATTGCTTTGTCATGGGTGATGTGGCAAGTTTTGTCTATAAACCCGCTAAAACAAGTAAAGGGGACCAAAAAAAACAGGTTGCCCAACAATTCATTCCGTTATAAAGTCACAGAAATAATTTAGGGACTAAAAGGATAAACCCTAGAAACTTTATAGGACCAATGTGTCATTTTCCCTTAAAAGCATTTATAGTGGGAAACCCAAAAACCTGAAAACCCACTTGAAGAAAAGAGACTAGATAAGACTCTAGTACAAGTCTAAAACCTAAGAATAAGAATCCCAAACAAAAAACGCAGCTTGGGGAACAAGGAATTTGATAGCAAATAACAACGTCTTTAGTGACGGATACCTTTTAGTGACCGATACCTGAAACTGTTGCCAACAGAAAAACCCATGCATTCAATGTTTGTTTTTGGAGCATATTCAAAATTAATAGTTTATATATATACACACAAACTTTACAAAAAAATATCACACACAAATATATCAAACGCATGGAATCCAGAATCCTATTCCCAAACGAATCAAGACATTGAATGTCTTCGGTGTTTACTTGGTCTATTCCTGCCTCTTGTACTCAAAGGTCCAACCCCATCAACACGTAGAAGCGGCATAATCTTCCCCAACTTTTTCGATACAGAATTCAAAAACGATTTACGAGGAAACAGTGGCTTATGATCAGCAGAATAACGAGTAGGAACACTCGGGCTGCGGACTACAGATTTCTCACTAGAAAATCTTTCCACTTCTTTCAACTTCATTTTCATTTTTAAAAGCTCAAGTTTCAGGTCCTGGTTTTCTTTTTTCAGCCATGAAAGCTCATGGGATGATGGCTTGTTGGTGGTGGGTTCAAGCTCTATTAGACCATCACAACTCATTGTGTCTCTTAACCGTTGTTGTTCATAGAAAAGAACTTGACCCACAGTTTGCACAGGAAGCCTGTCATTTTGGGCAGCATGTGCACACGCTTCACGTGAAAGCTTTTCACAGTCCATCAAGCTGCATACTTTCTTTCTTTCCATATCACTTAATGTTGGATGAACCTGTAAAATGTTATATAAACAGTGGTTTATGTCATATTTTAGCAACAAACTAGAATCTTATGTTCTTGTTTAATCACTTCAATGGTACTTATTTAAACAATGACCTTCCGTAAAAAAAATAGCCAAATGTATGTTACCATTTATGACATTAACCTTTATGACATGCTATAGCAGGATTTACCAGTTTTGGGTGCGGATTTGGAGTAAGTGGTTCTAAGTGGCAGTTTAGTCATTTTTAATGACGGGGAGGGTGACTAACTATTTCACATATGTTCTTCTTTAGTCAGTATTAATACTAACATTTATTATATATCATTCTAATAAAATAAAATAAACTAGAAGCTTTCAGTGAAGATGAACCAGTAAGAACATACAAAATACGGTTGGTTCTCCTTCCATGCATTTAAAATGACTAAAATGAGTCAACTGCCACGTGGACAAAGTAAAAGTGTACCAAATCAGCATTGAAAACCGGTAAAACCTGTAATAACAGGTCATAAGGGTTTCTGTCTAACTAGTATTTATGGGCCGTTTTTGTCTTTAGCCCATTAGGGTTTCTGTCTAGCTAGTATTTATATCTGCTTTATTCCTTGTAGTCTTTATGCTTTTCTCTGAGAACCCTTGTAATTTCTCTTTGATATAATCATATGACAATGTTATCATGGTATCAGAGCAGAGGTTTGATACGTTGTTAGAAGTCTTTGTAGCAGTCATCTGTGGCGCGAATCGAAATTTTCTAGGGTTACTGTAGCATGCCGTTTTCGTTCATTATCACTGGTATTCGTTTTTTTATGTGTTGATTCGTTGCTACTGTTGATTCGTTGCTACTGTCGGTTCGTTGCTACTGTCGGTTCGTTGCTGCTGTTGGTTCATAATTGCTGTTGATTCGTTATTCAAGTGATTGCTTCCGCTGGTTTGTTACTCCTTTCATTCTCAGATTGTTATATTGTCATTGTGGTTATTCATTCACTATCAACATGACTGGAAAGGATGATTCCCTTCAGTCAATCGGTACTCGTTTGGATGTAAAGAATTATACGTATTGGAGTTACATTATGAAGAACTTCCTTCATGGGAAGAATATGTGGGGCTATGTCACTGGGACTAAAGCCAAACCCTCAGTGCCTCAAACTGAGAATTATGATATGTTGGTTGATGCTTGGGAGACTGATAACTCCAAGGTTATTACTTGGATAATTAACTCTGTTACTCAGTCCATTGGTATGCAGTTGGCTAAGTATGACACAACAAAGGAAGTTTGGAATCACTTGGAGAGACTGTATACTCAGTCCAATTTTGCTAAACAATACCAATTGGAATATGATATTCGTGCCCTTCAACAGAATGACCAGAGCATTCAATATTTCTATGCTGCTATGTCTAATTTCTGGGATCAATTGGCTCTTACTGAATCTAAAGAGTTAAAAGATTTTGATCCTTACATTGCTAGGAGGGAAGAACAATGCTTGGTTCAGTTCTTGATGGCCTTGCGTTCTGATTTTGAAGGTCTTCGTGGAACAATTCTTCATCGCTCTCCTCTTCCTTCAGTTGATTCAGTTGTCCATGAGTTAATTGAAGAAGAGACTCGTATCAAGTCCCATGCAGATAAAGGGTTTAAAGGAACCTCTACTCCTACTCCTGCTCCTGCTGTGCTTGCTGTCTCCTCCAGTCAATCTCGACAAACTTCAAGAGTCGCTTATGATGAGTGTGCATTCTGCAAACAGAAGAATCATTAGAAAGCTCAGTGTCCATTGTTAGTCAACAAGGGTAAATCTGGTCAACCTCAGTCAGGGCAACAAAATAGGTCTGAGCAACAGAAGATTCAGTCGCGTTCCTCTGATACTCCTCCATGGACCCCTCGTCCTCCACAGTTTGTTGCTTCTGCTGTTCCACCAGTTGAAACAGAATCTGTTGGACATATGCCACCATCTGCATTGGATCCCAAGGTGTTTGAGAGCTTTAGACAGTATTTGGCTTCTAATCCCACTGCCATGTCTGCATCTATGTCTCATTCTGGTCCTTCTTCATCTGGTACTTCAGGTATTCCCTCATCTTTGTGGATTTTAGATTCTGGTGCAACCCATCATATGACTCTTCATTTGTCATCATTTACTTCTTTGTCGCAAGTGTCATCTATTTCTGTTAAGTCTACTAGTGATACATCTATGCTAGTTGAGGGTGTTGGGTTTGTCTCTGTTTCTCATATCACTCTTCCTGATGTTTATTACATTCCCAAACTTACTTTGAACCTTGCCTCAGTCAGTCAGTTATGCAAGTCTGGTAACTGGGTGTTCTTTTCTGATTCTGTCTGTGTTATACAGGATCAACACACCCAGAAGGTGATTGGGATCAGCCGTAGGGTGGGGGAACTATATGTCTTGGAGGTCCTCAAAGTATCTGTTGTTGCTGCTTCCAGCATTGATTTATCTTCTTTTCGTTTGAGTCCTTTGTCGTCTGAGTTTTATGTTTGGCATTCTCGTTTGTGACATGTGTCTGTATCACGGTTGAATTTCTTAGCATCTAGTGGTGTTTTGGGTCATTTAAACTCTTGTGATATTTCTGATTGTAGTGGTTGCAAACTAGCAAAATTTTCTGCTTTACCCTTCAATAAAAGTATGTCTTGTTCTACTGCTCCTTTTGATATTATTCATTCTCATGTGTGGGGTCCTACACCAGTATCCACAAAGGGTGGGTCAACCTATTATGTATCTTTTATAGATGATTATACTCGATATACATGGGTTTATCTTATGAAACGCAGATCTGATTTCTTTGATATTACAACAATTTTAGAGCTCTTGTTAAAACTCAACATTCGGCTGTGATTAAGTGCTTCAGGTGTGACTTAGGGGGTGAATATACCTCTAATGATTTCACTCAGTTACTTACTTCTGATGGTACCATACACCAGTCTTCGTGTACTGACACACCTCAGCAAAACGGTGTGGCAGAACGAAAACATCGTCATATTGTTGAGACTACCTGCTCATTGCTCCTGTCTGCGCAGGTCCCTAGTGCCTTTTGGGGAGAAGCAGTACTAACTGTTGTGTATGTGATTAATCGTATCCCTACTTCATTGAATTCAGGAATATCTCCTTTTGAGAAGTTATATGGTCATCTACCAGACTACTCTTCCTTACTAGTTTTTGGATGTACTTGTTTTGTTCTTCGTGCTCATGTTGAAAGGAACAAGCTAAGGCCGAAATCTGCTATTTGTATATTTTTGGGGTATGGTATTGGTCACAAAGGATACCGTTGCTATGATCCTGTGAGTCAGAAGTTATATGTTTCTCGGCACGTTACTTTTTTGGAACATATTCCTTTCTACTCGATTCCTGCTACAGCCCACAATGTAACAAAGTCTGATCTTCTGCGTATTGATCCTTTTAATGAAGATATAGAGGCTCAAGACTCATCTATGCCACATGATCCCTCAGCACATGACACACCCACTTATTCAGAGGGTGTCTCGACTCCACCTGTTCGTGAGCCTGATCCTCCGATTATTGAAGTTGAGGATCCACCTCCACCACCACCCCTCAGGAGATCTTCTCGTCCTGTCAAGTCCACCAAGCTACCAGATTTTTCTTACTCTACATATTCAGGACCGTTTGCTTCATTTATAGCAAGCATCCATCATCTGTATGAACCTGAATCATATAGAGAAGCTGTTTCAGATCCTCTTTGGCAGAATGTTATGGCTGAAGAACTCACTGCTCTTCATCAGACTCATACATGGGATTTGGTTTCTCTTCCTCCTGGGAAACATATGATAGGTTGTCGTTGGGTGTACAAGATAAAAACAAAAGCTGATGGCTCTGTTGAACGATATAAGGCTAGACTTGTAGCAAAAGGGTATTCCCAACTGTATGGTTTTGACTACGAGGAGACATTTGCCCCAGTTGCAAAGATGACGACAGTTCGTACTATGATTGCAGTTGCATCCGTTCGACAGTGGAAGATCTTTCAAATGGATGTCAAGAATGCCTTTTTGAATGGTGACCTTCATGAAGAGGTTTATATGAATCCTCCTCCAGGAATTCAGCACCGACCGGGCGAGGTTTGTCGGCTTCGCAAATGTTTGTATGGGCTCAAGCAAGCCCCTCGTGCTTGGTTTGAGAAATTATCCACAGTGATTACCTCTCTTGGATTTGTCCAGAGTAATCACGATTCTGCTCTGTTTGTTAGATGCTCGAGTGTCGGACGGATTCTTCTGTCCTTATATGTGGATGACATGATTATTACAGGTGATGACCATGGTGGTATTGAGTCTTTGAAGCATGATCTAGCTCTTCGATTTGCTATGAAGGATTTGGGCTTGCTGCGTTATTTCTTGGGTATTGAGGTCGCTCAGTCTAAGAAAGGGTACCTTCTTTCTCAGACTAAATATATATCTGACTTGTTTACACGGGCGGGACTTTCTGACAATCGGACTGTTGATACCCTTCTTGAAACCAATGCACGATACTCTCCTACTGATGGTGTTCCTTTGTCTGATCCGAATCTTTATCGTACTGTGGTGGGAAGTTTGGTTTATCTCACAGTCACTCTTCTAGATATTGCTCATGCTGTTCATATTGTCAGTCAGTTTGTTACTGCACCTACCTCTGTTCATTGGGGAGCTGTTCTTCGTATTCTGAAATATCTTCGTGGCACTCAGTTTCAGACTCTCTTGTTTCCCTCGACGTCTTCTCTTGAGTTACGTGCCTATAGTGATGCTGATTGGGATGGTGATCGTCATGATCGTAAGTCTACCACTGGATTTTGTGTATTTCTTGGAGAGTCTCTTATTTCATGGAAGAGCAAGAAACAGGATGTTGTCTCTAGATCTTCCACGGAGGCTGAATATCGTGCTATGGCTGTAACTACATGCGAGATTATCTGGTTACGGTGTCTGCTTGCGGATATGGGAGTTTACATTTCTTCACCTACTCCCTTGCATTGTGATAATAAAAGTGCGATACAAATTGCGAAGAATTCTGTTTTTCATGAGCGGACGAAGCACATTGAGATTGATTGTCATTTTACTCGTCATCACCTGCAGCTTGGGACCATTTCGCTTTCATTTGTTTCATCAACCTTGCAGCTTGCGGATATTTTTACGAAGGCTTTATCGGCTTCTCGGTTTCGGTTCTTATGTGACAAACTCTCAATGCTTATTGTTGCGGCATTGTGAGTTTGAGGGGGGATGTTAGTCTATATTATTAGCCTGCTTGTTTATGGGCCCTTTTTGTCTTTAGCCCATTAGGGTTTCTGTCTAGTTAGTATTTATATCCGCTTTATTCCTTGTAGTCTTTATGCTTTTCTCTGAGAACCCTTGTAATTTCTCTTTGATATAATCATATGACAATGTTATCACATAGAACGACATCATTAGTTGGTTACGCTCCAAAACTATTAAAATAACTAAATGAAAACATGTCAAACTATGACATAAACCCTATAAATCAAATGGTAAGAAGAAGAAGATACACATACATACCTTCAAGTAAATATCAATGGCTCTATAAATTGCATCATTTGATACCTTAGCTTGTTCTGGAATATGTTCAGCAAAATTCATAAATTTTGATAGTAATAAATTCCTATCCGAAGCTATTTCAGCAAGATAACTTTCCATTAACTTTCCAACTTTTTCCATGTCATTTTCTTGATTATTTTTGGTTTCTAATTCGTATTCAAGGTAATTTATCATGACTCTTTGGATCGTATCAACATCAAACATTGTGTCACCATCAAAATGAAAAGATGGAATTAGTATGTCATCCAAGACTGCCTGCCCGAGTTGTAAGCCCATTCGTTTTTCTAAGTCTAGCTTACATGCCATTGTTGTTTCAAGATATATGGCTGCCCGAAGTAACATTGAAAGAAAGCTGACCGACATTGTGTTTCTTTCTCTTGGTAGGAGGCTTACTATTGTTTCTAGAACTATCCTCTTTTCGTGTTCTTGTTTCGAGTCAATTTTTTTCTTGTTCTTTCCATGTATCTCCTGTTTGATGTTAAATTGAACATATGAGTAAATGGAAAATTATTTGATTCCTATAGAAGTTCTACTGAAAAATTCCCATTCAAGAATGAAGTGATTCATCTCACCTAAAAATGATGTCATTTAGTAACAAGTAATGAGCCAATGTGTTAAATGCAAGAAAAAACAAAGTACTTTTATTTAATTGTTCAATATAACATCCTACTTCATTTCTTCTATGGTATTATAGTTTTCTTATTAAGTTATTATACTTTGAAAAATCTATCAATTATAGCACTGAAAATTGCTTTCTATTTGGATGACAGTTGTATGATTGGGTAGATTTTTCAAAGTATTATTATATATGTAATAGAAAAAACATGAAAGTTGGATGCTATGATGAAAATATGTTAATGTTTCTTGCACTTTACCCTTCTTTCAATACACCTAAAACAAAAAGAAATCTTACCAAACCTTGAAGACACTTCTCCACATAAAGCATTAGAATCGGACCAAGTTCATTTTGTTTAAATCCCCTTGAAATCATTGCAAGAAGAACCCTTTGAAATATATCGATTCTAAGAACAATTAAATCTTCAACCCACCAATCAACTATACCTTTCAGATGTGATGAAGAAGAAACCAAATCATCCGCGCTTCTAGAAGAACAAAACTCGTTTTCTTTGGTCACGATATATGCAATAGTATCAATACACCGAGTAATCAACTTTACTTTTTCAGCCATCGGTAACAAATTTACTGATGATTGCAAAATGATGACAGCACCAGCTAATGTTTTAAGTGCTACTTCATCTAAATAGGCTTCAGATCTTGTTACAAGGTTTCCAATTGCATAATCTTCTGTCATTTCAAGAAACTCTGAAACACATCTCACAATGGAAATGTTTTCTGTTGATAATTCAAAGTTTATTCCATAACAAAACTTTGCTGCGAGTTCAAATCCTTCAGGGCCTCCGGGGACATCATGGATTTCAATCACTAAAGGATCAGAATCTGTGGGATTTGATACTATTTTTCTTATGTAACCACACTTTGACACCAAAGGAAACTGCATAAAATTACAGAAATAAGATGGATAATAACAAGAGGATACATACAACCATAAATCATACCTTATGTAATGAAAAAGAAGCACCTCCAATGTGAACTGTAACATCACTTGGGATTTCATGGAAGAAAATCCTGTTAACATTGAAAAAAAAATGTCTCTTTAAATATTCAAAGTTACAAGTACGTATGGAATAAAAATTGAGACTAAAGCAAACCAATCACTAGTTTTCTTCATGGAAGTGGCCATATGTTGCTGACTCTAGTGCCTTGGCAGGCATTTTAAGGGCTCTGAACATCTACTGTATCAATAATTGAGTAATCATTACAAGAATCCTGTGCTGTATTTCACCACATACTCCTTAAGATAAAAAAAACTTTACGAAAGTACACACATTTCACTTGGTTTTAGGAAGTGAGGAATGAGTTGTTTCTTTTATTCTCCACCATTGTTATCTATCTAGCGTTATATGTACCATATCAAACTATCAACATATTTAAAGAAATGCCCACGATGGGTATTAGCATTTGGCCAAGAAGGAGGAACACCAGGGAGAAAACAGTAAGATTTTTAATGTTGGTATTAAACGAGGGTAATTACAAGAAATAGGTGGGATTTACGACTGTGTAGTGGTGACTGAGAATAGGATTTTGGAGTATTTGGATCTTTAACTGTGTAACTGATCTCGCGCAGCAGTGATTCTTGACCAAAAGCCATTAATACATCCAAACAAAAAAGGGGAGTTCAAATCTACCCCATCAGCAAAAGGACCGACGCCAAATCTGGGTGGGAACCCTACAACCTCATTCCATATCTTCTTTTTCACTGTAACAAATAATGACATACAACTAGATTTTTTATAAACTTGGCCCGAAATCGTTTGGTTTGATATGATTGATTTTTGGATTGTTAAAAAAAAAAAATGTGCGATTATTTTGTATTAAGAAAATTAACATCTGAGCTATTCACTATATTAACAATATTTGCAAAATTTTCAACATCAAATGATAGTGCATAATAAGGTTAAGTAACATATGTGGACATTTAGCATTATGATCATTCAGATTAATATCATAGCCTTATAAGAATGGGTAACTTCTGGCTGTTTCAAGTGGCGACCCTCTTACTAATCTAATGTATCTAATACAAAAACATCAAACGCAAGGCATGATTAAGTTAGACAATGTAATTTGTTTAAAATCTATACAAATATCGGATCCAGTGGTGAATCATGGTGTCGTCGAAAAACATTAGTTATCAGATTCAGTTGTGATCAATTATACAATCTGTGGTGGGTTTTATAATAAGAAAATTTACAGAATTAACTTCATATTTAAGCTATTATATAATTTTAAGTTTCATGTTATTTAATGTAAGCTACAAATATGAGTATATAAACATAATGTATAATATACATGAACTATTAATAAAATAATAGTTAAATATTCCTCAAAAATGATAGCATAATTACATTGGGAATATGGAAGAGGTGATTGTACCTTTTGTTGTGTAATGAAAATTTGTTTGGTTGTGTGCAGCTTAAATTGGCATTATTTTGATGATATGGCATGTGTCTTATTAGTGTACGACAAGATCTTCATCTATCAGTTGCATGGAGTCGTCAAAACGATTATAAACCGGAATTGCTCTCATGGGGAGGCGAAAGGTGCTAGAGGTTTTATCGGAAAAGTTAGTGTTGGGAGGGCTATAGTAGAGAAGGAAAGAGAGGTTAATCTGACATGTTAAGTCAATTAGGTGATAGGTTTGTGTGAACACGGTCAGATTATATTGAGCTACGAAATAGATCTAACACATAAATACACATACAAATGAGATTAAAATCAAGAAATTACTAAACATATAAAAATAAACATTATATAAACAACCATTGAAAAACTTTGTACATTACAGAAGGCAAACACAGATATCAAAGAATACAATCTATGTACCATATTTCTTGAAATATACTCAAACATCATCAACCCAATCATCATGGCCAATGTTGTATATATGTAATAGCCGAGTTCCAATTGTGTTTTTATTCCATGATTGGTGGTTTTAAAGTCCAAGGAAATGTAGAAGTAATGAGCGAAGCGAGATACACAAAAGGGAATTAATCGTAAAAATTTGTCTGAGGTGCGGAGAGTCGCCGTAAATTGGGCTTCGGCCTTGGGATTTCGGCCTATTAAAGAGCACTAATATTTAGGGTTTCGTCATTTTCAACTTCAAACACCCCTAGAACGTTGAGCTCATCCTCTCTTATAAACTCATTTCGGTGCTCATTTGTGCTCTTATGGTAATCATAAGTGATGGGAGCATGCAAGCTTGGGCAAGGAAACATTGATCTTATAGAAGTCATCCTTCTCTATACCTTTGGACCTTGTTAAGCTCTAAATGTTCAAGCTTTATTTTGTTTCCTTCATAGATCTAGAAGTTCGTTGGGTTTTTCGTCCTTTTTAGTTTTGGTTCCTTTGAAGTTTGTTTCTTGGAGTTTGAGGAACTCCAGAGCTTGTGGATGAGATTTGGAATTAGATTTTGTCTTTGGATGGAGTAAAGAGTGCATGCAAGAGCTCTATTTGCTCCTTGCATTAAGATAAGTACATTTTGGCCACTTTTGTGAATTACGGTTTTAGATCTTGTTTGTTTGGGCCATGCGAATGGATAAAGCTGAATTTATCCATTAAGACATCAGGAACTTTCAGATTTAAGAATTGGGGTTTCTAACTTAATCGATTAATTTGTTTAATAAGTTGTTTTGGACTTAGACGCGGGGCGCCTCTGAGTTTTTCAAGATTTCGAAGTTCCCTATAGTGAGCAATAGGCACCTCTGATGGGGAGCGAAGTTCCCTTGACCATTTTCATTGACTTTTTGACTTTTGAACAAGTTTGACTTTGGGGTTTTGGGTTTTAGATTGAGGTTTACGTTTGTTTGGTGTTTAAAAGGTTCATGAGCATGCTTTGTGTGAGTATCCATGCGTGCAATAGTGATTTTTTAGTTTCTGATCCAGTGAGACTTCTCACTATATTACTTATGTCATGATTGGATCCTCTTTATATGGGATTCATGTGTAATACTATGAAATGTTTGTATAATTATCAAAACTAGTAGGGGTTTGCTTGTTTGCATGTATGTTTTCATGCTTCGTTGGGCGGATGGTGAGACCGGTGTTGCAGTACTATGAGCCAAATAGGTGGTTAGGGTGATAGCGACATCGTTGTTAAGGCACCTTAAGCAAAATAGGTTGTTGATTTGATAACAAGACCAATGTTGTTGCACCATGAGTCAAATAGGTCGTTGGGTTGATGGTGAGACTGGTGTTGCAGCATTATTAGCCAAACTCGCCGGTTATGGTTATGAATAGTTATTATTGTGATGTTTATGATATGTTGGGATACTCATTAAGATTTGTGTTTATAGTTATGTACTAATATTTTTTAGCTTGTTCGAAGAAAGGGTGTGATTTGATTGTATATTCGCATCAAATATATATTGTTATTCAATTTTCACAAGTTTAAGTAATTGAACTTTGTTTAACCGTTACGTTTTGAAACAAACGAATGATGTGATATGTTTTCAGAAACGGATTTAGATTATTTAATGTGATTTAAAACAAAAAACTTGGTTTGAAATATGGGACGTTACAAGTTGGTATTAAAGCCTTAGTTTAAGGGATTCGGACTCACACACAAGTCAAAGTAAGGACTAATGTGACAATCGACAAAATTATGTCATCACTAACCATCGTTAGGGAGAGTAGGAAAATAAACGAAATATCTTAATATTGTAATATTTAATTTATGAGATAATAAAAATCAAATATGTTGTAACATTTATGATTAAATCGACTGTAATAAGCGTCCGAAAAAATTATACCGTCTTTTAAAATGGTTAACGTATTTAGAAAGTACTCGTTCACGTGATCTCAAGGATATAAGATTCGTAAAAATATGACTCCAAATGAAAGAGTTATGGATTTAGTAAAAGTAAAAATCAATCGTGTATTTAAAATTAATTACGTCAAAACGGGATTTAGAGATTGGTTGAGTTTTGACTAAAAGTGCAAAAAAGAGATTCATAATACTCATTGAGATATAAACTTTAGGACAAAGAATGCCGAAAACGAGATCCGTATGAGAGAGAGATGATTTTTGTAAAATCATTTGTTATTACTCCCATTAGGCATAAAAATGAAAGTCAAAACTACCTAAAACAATATAAAAGAGAGTTGTAGTACCCATTGAGAGCATCACATAAATATAAAGAGGGCTTAGATCGGAGCTTGCACGAAAGAATTATGATTTTTACCAAAACATTTTGTGCACGCGTGGTGCGCACCTGGCACCGGATTCAAGAAGATTACGAATGACGTCGCTAAGTGGGAGGTGATACATGGCAACCTCTAGATGGAGCCATGATGATCACGCACGACGCTGCCGGATCTTTGTGTCATGCGCTCCCCAAATCCATGCCTATAAATAATAGGCAGTGCATAACCATTTCTTCACAACTTTCTCTGCATCTCTCTCTCTCTCTCTCTCTCTCTATATCTATCTATCTATCTATCTATCTATCTATCTATCTATCTATCTATCTATCTATCTATCTCTCACACCCACACAAACACCCACACACACACACAAAGATCTCGAAGTGGTTGCTACCTTAGGCGATCCTCGGAGCCCCGAGCATGTATTCAACCCTACATCAGCGGTCTCATGCGTCAAGGGCGAGTTCACGGCCCCAGTTAACTATTTCAACGATTTTACGGGGGAAGCCGTCGGGGGGGGGGGAGGGGTGGGGGCGATACATGCTTATCAATCTGATATATATATATATATATATATATATATATATATATATATATATATATATATATATATATATATATCACTAGTTATATAAAAGCATGAAGCTTTAGGATAATATACTCATAGATACTCCATCAAGTTATAAGTTATGATATTATACCTAAAAGTTACAATTCCCGACATTCTAGGAAAAATTTTACCTAGAGGTTATAATGGTGACTTCCCTACGATAACATAGTACCTAGAAGTAGTGTGGGTCAGTTATTAGGATATGCATTGTAAATTATATTGTGATAATTATAGGAATTATTAAGTTAGAGACTTAAAGAAAAGATAAAATACCTAAGGTTAATGTGTTAGTGAATTGTTATTATTCATCCTTAGCCTATTTAAATATGGTTGTTATTATTCATCGTTAGCCTAATTATATTGAGTCACCCCCTCACGCCAATTGTCTAGCATTCTCTGAAATTTATATGTGAGATTACCTGGTCCAAATAAAAAATCGATAGAAAGGCTGGGGTGGTTATTTTTCATTACTCATCTTTACCTAACCCTGTCCGTGTAAGCATGCTTGTTGTATGCATCAAGTCTCATATTCTGCTGAAACATTGAGCAAAACCCAATGGCGTATTCTGATTGCATAGTCATCAGCATAAGAGTTACTTGTC